TTCCACGCAGCTCAATAAGCCTCTAAGAAAAGCTTTTAGTGAAAACAAAGTAACCCCTCGAGAAGTCGTCCGTTTTGCAAATGATGCAAAGGACATTATGTTAATGGGAGAATTCGAAACCGAAAATCTGGGTTTTCCCTAAGCAGTTCACATCCTCCTACCGCTGTTCCTTTACATAACAAAGTGCTGGAAATAGAGCACGCCATCTCGCCTCTTTAAATTGGCGCATACCGCCGATTTACTGTTATGAGCTTAATTTTTTTTTGCATTATCGAGAATATTACCAAATCCTTTTTTACCGTGGAAGACTTACTCGAAGTTCAGTTATGACATACAGTCACAGCGGATAAAAGCTGTTTGACCTGAGGTGGCTGCATCTCAGTGATAGTGATAATTAGAAACAGTCAATGAAGGAAAATTTTGTAGAAGAATAAATTGCAAATGGACAAAGAGATCGAGGAGATGAAATCAACGCATGAACTCGAGGACAACAAGCCGTTAAAAATAGAAATTAATCCAGCACTGCATGTTAAAATCGACGAGAAGAACTGCAAGATTTATGAAACGAACGATGAGCCAACGCTTGATGACGAAGTGGAAGACCCACTCATTTAAACAGATGATAGCTCAGATCAAAAACCTGGCCAAGTGCCTGCATATTGCCCACTTTACAATCACCGATATTCCATTAATTTTCATTATGTTTAATGCGGTGAATGTAAAGGCTTGATCATATGTTTCCAGTAAAGCTTATCATGCCACTCAAGAATCAACCACAGTTATTCGAAGAAGTGTATTACGAATATCACCCGCTGTCACAGCCCGCAATTTGGCACACTTCTACTTGCAATACTACTTTTATGCGTTTTGTGCTGTGCAACAGTTGCAGAAAACGTATACTGTCAGGAAATTGTCAGTGTGAGTGTTTTTGTGTGAGTATATATGTGTGTATGTGTGTGTCTGTGTGTGTGTGTATCTGATGCATCTTGACCAAAACTTTCAAATTGGAACCTTCAAATTTTCACGGGGCCATATGTGAAAACCTCGCATACCCGGGAGCTGCATTTGATAAGTTAAGCTGGACACGTGTTAGGAATATTCTTTGAAAAACTCAGCCTCCTGGCTCTCCTGATCCCCGAGTTAGCCGTTTTTCCGACAAAAATTTTCATTAGGCCGTACGTGATTACCAGTCACACTGAGGAGCTGGATTTGATAACTGTGTACTTGTGTTGGAAACATTCCTTGAGAATTTCAGCCTCTCAGCTTTCCTGGTTCCCGAGTTAGCGATTTTCGTGCCAGGAACCCTCACGCGGCCATATGCGGGGATCACGTACACCTGGGGCTGAACTTGAAATCTTTAGTTTTATATACACGGGAAACATAACCTCAAATTTCAGCTTTTTAGCTTTTCTGGCTCCCGAGTTAGCGATTTCCTTGCCAAAACTTTCATCCCCTCGTACGCC